CTTATTTTCACTAACAAGTTCTCACATTTGTTGCAGTCAAGGTCTGGTGACTACTAAGGTCACTATAAATGCAGCTCTTTTAAGGGAAGGTTTAGGAAATAATGCTTCTGACCTTTCTCTTGGGTCTTGTCAGAATTCAGCGCTGTCCCTTTTACACTACTTTTACCATGCAGCATAAGGGCCCTCCCACCATGTGTGGACAGATGAGAAGTTGTTTACCATATGAAAGGTCTGGTGAGGAGCTAGTATAATCACATCCACACACTCTCAATGTTAGAATTGGAGCATTACTTAGCCACATGTCCCTCTAAGCTTTATTGTATGTATTTAAATCATCCTAATATTTGTGTCCTTGTTCCTGCAAGGTCTGCATATGTGACATTGAATTGTTTCCTCATCATATAAAAATGAGCATTTTTTGATATCTCAAGCCCAACACTTAACATGCTGGATAGAATGATACTCTGTGTGTATTCAAAAGGCATTCTGTTTATAGAGCCCATGCTATGCATGACTCCTAGAACAAGTCCTTTGAACCGTGTCCATTGACATAAGTGTATCTCAGAGTCTGACCCAGGTCTAGTTACTGGATAAATGCAGACCCATCACAGAATGAGTTCAGATCTCCAAAGTCAACCCACAACCAGATCTATAGCTCTACGTTTCCAAAATATTGGGAGATTGCAAGTAGGATCCTCTAGCTTGCATGTCTGCAGAGATCAGCAGTAAATTCAATGGTCCATGGCATGACTTTCCCGAGAGGAGGCTTGACAAGGTAAATAAGCTGAGGTTGTCTGCCACTGATACAACCCACACTTGTGAGTTCAGGTAACCAGTCCAAATAAAATATGAGCCAAAGGATTCCTTGCAGCTAGATTTCCTCCTCTCCAAAACAAGAGACGTGGAGATATTCATCTGGCATACTTTGTGGTTCCTGTGTAATGCAGCAATTAACCATAGTGAATTCACCCACACTATATCTGGAAGCATGGGGAGGCTGCCGATTAAGACACCTGTTCTGGTTGTCAAATGCCATCTTTCATGTTAGCCAGAAAAAGCCATATTTTCTACACTGCAATTCTAGTTTACAGCTGTAATTGAGATTTTTGCAGCAAGTCAAGCAGCTGGGATATCACTTTTGTAAAAACCTTTTATATCCCAGATATGCAGATATTTCTATTAGTATCAGCAGGAGACGCTTACATCAAGTCCACCAGATGACCAGTACAGACTCTCCCCTCTGGAATCCTGTAACACCACATCAGTGTTTCCAGTGTGAACTTCCATCCTAACAGGTGTCTGCATGTCTGAGATAGCTTAGGAGTTGGTCAGAAGTTTGTACACATGTTTAAAAGAGCTTGGATTGACAGAGGAATTTGAATGGCTACTGACTGTTAAACTGTGTTATTAAGACAGCAGTAAAGAGATTACAAATTATGAATGCAAATATTAATGTAAACATGTTACAAGTTTAACTGCCTATCTTCAATAACCTGGCATGATGGTGACTAAAAGGTCCATGGAGCTGAAGCGGGGAAAATGAGGATTTTAATGGGACCTGTCCATAGATATTTCACGCAACATGAGAGACTTAAGGTGCATCTACACTACACCATTTTTCCGGCATAACTGCTGTTATGCTGGAAAATCAATACTAGCGTCCATACTGCAATTGTGTTATTTTGAAAGAAAATCAAAATAACGGCTTTTTCTGACGCTGGTAATCCTGATTCCACAAGGAATAAGGCCTCTTCAGAAAAAGCTTTTTCGGAAGAGGGTGTTTGTGGATGCTCCACTGCTGCTATATCAAAATAGCTTCTCACCGGGGCCATTCTAAAGTTGTCCCTCCTCAGTGCCTCCTGGAGCTCTAAATCGAGGTAATGCATCCACATTACAAGAGCCTGCCTCAGGCTAATTTTGAGGATTCCCTGTAGTGTGGATGCTCTATTTCGAAATAAGCTTTTCCAGGTGATATCTTCTGGAATAGATTATTCTGAAAGAAGCAGTGAAGATGTACCCTTAGTACTTAAGAGGAGAGGTAGCACAACAATCAAAGGATCTTGGCAACAAAGCTAAGTTACTGTAGCAACAGTGAGATGATGACTATGGAATCATGAGATCAGTGAAATGGTGTCCACAGTTAATTAGGTTTGGGTCTGAACTTTCTGTAGGTGTGTGATGGGGTGTACCAGCCCTGGACTGGGGAAGCTTGGCGTAACCAGGATCACCTGGTTGAAGAAGTCCCGCCCCTGCAGCCCTGCTGGGTATGATCGGACTTCAGCCCAAGTGTAAAGGCCTGGAGAGAGGCTCAGTCTGGGCTAGCTGCTGAAGAGGAAGAAGGCACTGCCAGAGCTTCTGCAGATGAACCGCCAGAGGGACTGGACCTGGAGACCAGCCTGCGAGACACCAGTGCCGTGGCAGAGGATCTGGAGGAAGGACCCTGGAAGGAGTCCAGTGGAGAATGGTAGGAAGTAGCCTAGGGTGGGAGATTGTATACCGTGGAGCTCAGCGTGTTGCAGTGGGATTCCGTGCTGAGCAAGCAGTGGATTGCATGCATCACTGCTAATAGGGCCTTGGGCTGGGACCCAGTGGAGTAGGGAGGACCTGGGTCCCCCTACCACCTCCTCAATCCCCAACCCATGGGGCCGGCACCCGCTTATTATTGACTCCAGCTACTAGGCCACACTGCCCCAGTGAGAGGGATGTTTATTATTGACGTCAGCAGTTAGACTGTATGGCCCCAATGAAAGGACCATGTGTTTAGGACAGGAGAGGAAGAGGAATTGCTGAATGCGTGGGATTGGGGTATGATTTCAAAAGCCCTAGAGCCTCAACTACTCCCCCAGGGGTAGGGGAGGGGGAGAGATGAGTGTACCACCCCGTGACAATGTGGAAGAGTGGGATCCTTGTGAAATGCAAACAGTTGTTTGAGAAACCAACATAATAAAATTGTTTTTTTTCTCTGTGCCTAAATCTTGTGTGGTAAGAACTACATTCACTCTGAAGTTTTCCTTCAGAGGCTTTATTGTGTAAGCTAGCTGAAGCTTCAAATGACTGTCATAAATGTGCTTTTGGGTGCAATAATAGACATCAATGGGGGAGAGTTCAGTAAATGGGAAGATTTGGGGCAGCCAAGCAAGAGTCCAGTGTGACCAGCTGGTACT